AGATCAAACAATATAAAACCAAAATTGTTGAAAAACATTCCCAAAATTCTGTAACAATCTCTCTCAAATTTCAATAAAAAAAACAAAAGAAACTCCCTCAAATTTCTTTTCAAATATTACTGCCGACATATGACATTTACAAATCAGAATGTTCTACATAAAATAACCACATTAATTAGATGAGTAGTGGGTCATCTATAGTTTCCATTCATAGTCTATTGATCTTTTTAATTAGTAATTTTAGATATATAGAAAAAATTTCACAGAATTTTATTTATAAAAACAAAACAGTGAGGATATAAAAACACTTAAAATGAATATGAGTAATACATTGTTCTTCTTAATAAAATTGGAATTACTCTTTTCTACCTAATTAGAATTACTCTTTTGTAATATAATTAACTGTGGGTTAATCATTGTGAATGTTGCGTTGATACCAACCCTAAATCTTATGAATTTGGCATCCCCACCCCCCACCCAAATTCATGATACTTTGAAAGTTTTTAATAATTTTTTCTTTGAAATAAAATATAAATATAATGTTCTCACATTACCACCATTATTTCATTATTAAATTCTAATAAAAAACAAAATACCTATTTCCTATTTTCCCATAACCCCCCACCCTTATAAACAAACAAGTTTCCATACACATAATATGACGTCGGTGCTGATATTGTTAGAGTTGATAATGTTGTAGTTTCAACAGAGGACGAGTCGGGCAAATCCAAGCTTCCAACAACTTTGCTGGTCTCGAAGCTCACTGGTGGTGCCTGCAAAAAGGTCCGATGGAGAATGATTGTCCCCCAGCGGACCCTCCGACGATCAAGTTAGAACATAAGAGATTGACTGTGTAGAGAGAAGGAAAGAGAAGAGAAGAATAATGAAGCACTTAACCTTTGATGTGTCTTGGAAACTTCCTTATATCCTTTGTCCATCATTTCATCGTCCATTTCGACCTGTCGTGTTGGTCGAAAGCCTATACTCTAGCTTGCATTGTTCACGGTGAGGCTGTCTGTTCCGACGTGAAGGGGTTGTCGCATTTAATGCTGTGAGAGTCTCATTAATGGATGATGTGTGGTGCAATAACTTTGTAGGATCTTTGTCTGCTTATGTGTCTAGACCCTTGTTTGGCAAGTGTTTGAACGTTATTGGTCCTAGCCTGATATTAATTTCTCAGAGCTATTGGGCTTTGATAACTGGGGTGTGGACTGGCTCTATTCCGTGGGTTGGGCCCTTGTGGGTTGGGCCCTCATGATTGGACCCTCTTGGGTGTCCATCAATATCAAGAGTTATTTTTTGTTATTAGTATCATTATTTTTATAAGTACAAACTTATAAAATCACACAGAAGCATTAATTAAAAAAATTCAGATTCCTTTTGATAGATAATCTTTTTTTCTTGATTGCTTTCTTTTCTTTTATATGCATGTGCATTAGTTTATTTTTAATTTTTTTTTTTGGTATATAATATGATAAATAAAACAAACAAAAGAATAAATAAATCTAACCCAACAAAATGGCGACCCAGGCCCAAGTCTAGAGTTTCGGACTGGAGTCGGGCCTGGGCCTAAACCGGCCTAACTAGGCTAGACCCATCCCTGACGGCGGACGAGTTTCAAACCGTCCACGGGCTGCGAGTAATTTTTACACCCCTGGCGATGGGGGTATAATTGGCAATTGAAGCCATTTCCTAGGTTATGAATTGAGGTCTTCTCACCCTCTTCATCCGTGCTATTATTGTATTCTAGTGTTTTATCTTTCTTCATGCATACAGGGCCGGCCCTGCCCTAAGGCAGGTAAAGCTTGTGCCTTAGGTCCCATATTTTGGCCCAAAAATAGGACCCCAAATTTAAAAAATTGTTATAGGTTCAACTTTTTTTTTTTTTTTTTTGGTTTTAAGATCAATTTAAAGGGTCCCAAATGTTTTATTGGGCCATGTATAATTTAACCCATATTTATTTATAAATGTGTTTGGCCCATATTTATTAAAATGAAAATATATAAATAAATAAATAAAAAACAATAGGGCCCTTAAATTTGGTAAAACATAAACATATATAACATAGGGCCCCTAAATTTGGCCCAAAAATAGAGCCCCTAAATTTGGTAAAATATTATAGGCTTAATGTTTTTTTTTTTTGATTTTAGGATCAATTTAAAGGGCCCAAAAATATTTTTTTGGGTCCATGTATGATTTACTCCATATTTATTTATAAGTATAGTTTGGTCCATATTTATTAAAATGAAAATATATATTAAAAAAAAGTGTTTGGGCTCAAGAAAAATAATACATACAATATATGGGCCCTATTTTTTTTATTTTTTATTTTTACCTTCTTTATCTATTAGATTTTAGTGGAATAAATAATTTTGCTCAAATTTTTTTACCTAGGTCTTTATCAATTTTAATTGAATAATTTTTTCCTAATTTTTTTGTTCTAATTTTGTTTTATTAAATTGTTTTATTTATAATTTTAATAATTATATGTGTAAGTAAATTTTTTTACGGTTACAAACAAATAAAAAAATTATAACTTATCGTTTTATTCATGAATTTTTTTTCAATATAAAAGGGCCCCCATTTCCGAAATCCGCCTTAGGCCCCGACGAACTCCGGGCCGCCCTGCATGCATATTATTCTCTAATCTATTTGTATTTTCTGAAAATGCTATAATATATACTCTATTTTAACTTATCGTTTTATTCATGAATTTTTTTTCAATATAAAAGGGCCCCCATTTCCGAAATCCGCCTTAGGCCCCGACGAACTCAGGGCCGGCCCTGCATGCATATTATTCTCTAATCTATTTGTATTTTCCGAAAATGCTATAATATATACTCTATTTTGTGAGTGTATATATTATATATATAAACATACATACTATTAGGGTTGGACTTCTCTAATGTTGAGAAATAATCCGAACCGTTCATTTTATAGGATCTTGAATGTATATCATTCATGAAAATTTTTTAATCAATCCGATAATCGTAATCTTTTCATTTTTCTTTTTTTTTCTGCGTTTATCTCTAAAATATGGATAATCTATTTCAAAAATATATTTGTCATTTGTTTTTGTCAGAGATAAATATAATAAAATGAAAAAATTATGAATATTGGATCGAATTAATTTTTTTCATAGACTCTATAAAATAAACAGTTTAAATTATTGAAACGAAATCTGTATTAGATCTTATAAACCTTTTAAATATTCTAATATTGAAATCTCAACATAAAATAAGTCCAATCATATTAATAACCTAATAATAAGTGGTAATCCAACAATAACCACTTCGGACTTGATGAATGCATGAATCAGCCTTTTGGAAATTGATGTAGAATGCTCTCCAATAATAAAGTGGTAATCCAACAATGACCACTTTGGATTTATTAAGGAGTTATTTGAGATAATCTAAATAAGTGTATTTTTAATTTTGTATAAAATATATATTGAGTTTGGATTGGATTTAAAATGATGTGTTAGAGAAGCAATGTGACTTAAATAAGATGATATTACTTAAATATAATAGTGACTTTTTAATTTTTTTTAAACATGCCAAACCAAACCTAAATGCATGAATCAGCCCTTTGGAAATTGAAGTAGAATGCTCTCCCTCTATCTTGTGAAGTGGAGTAAGAAACTTTCTCACTCAAAATGCATGACTTGAAACTTTGAAGGGTCATGAGCGTCTTTGACATTGCGAACCCCACATCACATGCCTCTCTTAAATGTTACTGGTCACCTGTACGCATCTTATCCTTAAAATAAAAATAAAAAAAAAGGTTAGGGATACTAACAAAATTTTAAAAAAAATCTATCAAATCTCTGGCATTGGTCCTATTTGGTAGGGTTTATTTCTAATTTATTTTAATTTTTAACTTAATTTAAACTATTTTGATGTATTTAGTTCAATTTAACAATACAATTTATAACTTTTTATAAGTCAAAAATTAACTTATTCTTTAAATGGAGAGGAAAAACTTAATTTATAAATTAAAAATTAATTTATATTTACAACTATAAATTATAAAATATTAAATTATAAAATATAATTACTTCCTCAAAATTCTACCAAACGAGTCCATTATTGTCTTCAAGGACACCACACGCAACGCTGATCTTCTTATACGTTGACTTTCGTATCAGAAAACAATCATAAAAACATTAGTGTTAGGAAATGGTGCACACACACAACATAGGTTTATTTTGGAAGAATAATTAAAATTTGATTTTTTAATTTTTTTGATTTTTTTTAAAAAAATGTATAAAAAATATATGAGATAATATGACTCAAAATGAGTTACAAGTTAAAAAGTGACTTTTAACGCACTTCTCAAAAGAATTCATAAAGAATGCGTCAACACATAAAAGATGTGTCTCACTTGTGTGAGATTCACATGTTAGACCTATTATTTGTGTCTTGTTTGTAATTTATTTTATGCACTATTTTTGTGTTTGTAGCAAAGCTCTTATAATAAATTAAAAAAAAAAATACATGAACTGAGTTTTATTTTATTTTATTTTTTTAAAGAGTTGTATATGATTCTAGAATTAATTTCTCTATAAGTAAAAATAAATAATAAATTAAAAACTACATCAAAAAGTCACATTATATTAAACCTCCGTTTGAAAAGTGAGTTAGTTTTTTGACTTTCTGATTTTTTTGACTATTTTAACTTGGGTTAAAAAACTTGATTTGGGAATGACTTTTTAACTTTTTTTGTCAGAGAAAAGTGTAATGATTATGGATTGAATGTGATGTTTTGTTTGTTGTGGCTAAAATAGTCTCTCTTTTTTTGTGACTAAAATAACTCCAAACCTCTTTGCCAAACGGACCTAAGTGTGACTTGTATTAGACTAATTTTAAATTTATATTATTCATCTCATTTTTAAGATAAATTTTAAAATATAAATTTACATATGTAGTGTGCACTGCATTGAAGCCACTTAGGTGGGAGTACACAATAAAAAAAAAGTCAAAAGTCTTGCACACCAAGTATTACGTGTACAATGGTATAACATTTAATTTTGACATTAAAAAAAAAAAAAAAAAAAACCTTTGGACAAACATTTTAAGTGTTACAAAAGTACAATAATATTTTATAGCCATTTTGCTAACGGAAAAACAACCCAACATTTGTACAATTTGAGACGGTTGGATTTTCTTTATCCCTCTTTTCAAATCACTTCATCACTATATGATTAACAGGACAGATTCCTCAACTTGGGAGGCATACAACGTTGGACAGCTGTGAATCAATCAACCTGGGGTCCACTCTCGAAATCAACCATTAATTTATTCAATTTCTTGTTGCTTATTTTCTGCTGGATCATCCTCATGTCCTGGTCATGACTGTAGAGTAAAAAAAGGAACAAATTATAGTGTGAGAGTGAGCACCACCATAATCAATGTCACAAGACATCTAAACCGTTGATTAATGTGCCTGATGATTGATCAACGGCTTACCTTTGAGGTTGTGGAGATGCAGGATCAAGCATTTGGGCCATCTTGATGGCGTCCTCAGTGCTATTGATCACGTGGCTGAAGCACAAATAACGACCATATGATGAGACATCTTCGAAGACACAGATGTGGGCATCGGCCAAGGAATTTAGATCAACGGTCACAAACACCCCGTCTTCATACATCTCAGCCGCTCCTTTCAAGTATGGGTTGGTGATCGATAGTTCAGGACCCATCAGCAATCCTGCGTTGATACACACCAGATTCATCCCTCTGTCCATTGCCAAAGCCCAGGCAGTCTTCTCTGCTAGTGTCTTGGATAGGGCATGCCACAACTGTCCATGCCAAGCCAATGGTAAGAATGCAAATTCAATATTCAAACCAAATTTGACGGAATTACCCTCAATTAAGTGTCAATTGAATAATAAACGGTTAGTTTTGTCAATTAACAAAAAAATCTATGCTAAAACGTTTATGACATGACATGTAGGGCATTTTTAAATCTACAATTGCATATCATATAGATTTGTGTAAATTCTTACAAATATACGTAAATTATTTTATAAAATCGCATAAATTTTTACTAATATACGTAAGTTAACCTATAAAAATTTGAGAAACCACAACTTACATATATTTATGAGAACTTAAACTATTTTATGAGATAACTTATATATATTTGTGAAAACTTACACAAGTGCATATGATATGTCCCTTGCACATCCAAACATTACCCGTAAATATATTATACATGTTATACTTTTTAAGGGAATAACTTATCACTAGTTTGTAGAGAATAACTTATCACTAGTTTAGTAGATTGGACAATATAATTTAGATATATGAATACATCACAAACTCCACATTTTAATAATTCAATTTAATTTATATTTTAGGTCTCTATAGATAGATTATTAATAAAAATTTAAATTAATTTAATAATCATAATTAATTAAAATTTTTAATTTTCACATTCAAATACATGTAAAAAGTACAAAATTTATTTTTTTTTAAAAAAAAAAAATCTTTTAACAATTCACTAAATACAACTTTTAACAATTTGTATTTTTTTATATTTATTGATTTTTTTTAATATTTTTTACAAATATTTTACTTTTTAAATATATTTAGATTAGGTGCATTTGAAAAATAAATTCCATGACTAAAATACAACAAAAAAAAATTATTAAAAATAACAAAACACAAAAAACAAAATATTCAAAAATTATTTTTAAAAATTCAAAACTAAATAGTGACTAAAATTGAAAGAAAGTAATTCAAAAATGCGATAAAATTAAATATATAATATAAATTCAAATTTAATATATGTCAATGAGGGGTTATTTGGAGTTTGCTTATTTAGTTTACTTTTAAATTTTTTATTAAAAAAATACAAAATAAATAAATAAATAATATAAACCAAATAAATACATTTATTTAGTGAATTCTCAAACAATTCCTGAATCTGACTCATGCATTATTGTTACTCGGCTTAATTATTTCAATAAAAATGTTACCTTAAATTTACGGCAAAAATTAATGTCGGACCAATGTCTCTCGTCGAAATCGGACGATGAAGATTTACGATCGTCTCTCCAAATAACGGCGGTGGCAGAGGAAGTAAATACAACCTTGTTTATGGTCTCTGTTTGGGCACACGCTTCCAACACATTGTGCGCTGCCCTTACTTCCACTTCCGCCATTAACTCCTGCTCCATAATCAAAAATTATTTTTCATTTATTAGTTGACAATCAATTTTTTTTTTTTTCATTTAAAATATGTTCATTAATGGCACAAAATCATACATCAACTTAAAAATTACATTAAAATTGAAGTGATCGCTTTAAATTCAAACTTGATTTGAAGTGACCATACCTATATGTTTTAGTATAAGAGTTATGCTAGGGATTCCAAATAAATTATCAAATTTTTTATCAAATCTCTCCCATGGGTCATTTGATTTGTGTGGATCCCACACCCATGTGAGAGATTTGGTAGAAAATTTGGTAATTTGTTTGGGGTACATAGCATTTTTCTTAGTATAAATAAACGACATTATTATTTTTAATTTATATTACTAACTATATGATTGATGATGAGTACAAAGTCTTATGAAAATTCAAATTTTAAGCGAGTTAGTGTGATTAGGTTTTATAAAAATTATATTTTTCTTAAATATTAAGAAATTTATCCTTTTAATTTTTATCCCCTTTACCATTCACACAGTTTCTTGTTTATTAACTAAAAACTAATGATAAGAAGACATGGATAATATTTAAAGTAAACAAGTAATTTTTTAAGGATGGCTATTTATAAACAAAGTAATGGAAATCTTTATTATGAAAGTATAATAGTACAACTATTAGACAATTAAAAATATTACCTTGACAAAAGTCAAAATTATTTTGAAATTTAATATTTATAAAATGATTCTAGAATAAAAGGATTTAGATGAAGTGGATTTAACAATTTTCTTCAATATGATTAATAGTGACTACTACAATTATTGGACCCAAACTCAAACCCAAACCTTTGAAATTGAAAGCCAACTCCAACTACAGTCCAGATCTTCTTAAATCTCTCCCATGGGTGTGGGACCCATACACATTTGATTTGTGTGGATCCCACACCCATGTGAGAGATTTGGTAGAAAATTTGGTAATTTGTTTGGGGTACATAGCATTTTTCTTAGTATAAATAAACGACATTATTATTTTTAATTTATATTACTAACTATATGATTGATGATGAGTACAAAGTCTTATGAAAATTCAAATTTTAAGCGAGTTAGTGTGATTAGGTTTTATAAAAATTATATTTTTCTTAAATATTAAGAAATTTATCCTTTTAATTTTTATCCCCTTTACCATTCACACAGTTTCTTGTTTATTAACTAAAAACTAATGATAAGAAGACATGGATAATATTTAAAGTAAACAAGTAATTTTTTAAGGATGGCTATTTATAAACAAAGTAATGGAAATCTTTATTATGAAAGTATAATAGTACAACTATTAGACAATTAAAAATATTACCTTGACAAAAGTCAAAATTATTTTGAAATTTAATATTTATAAAATGATTCTAGAATAAAAGGATTTAGATGAAGTGGATTTAACAATTTTCTTCAATATGATTAATAGTGACTACTACAATTATTGGACCCAAACTCAAACCCAAACCGTTGAAATTGAAAGCCAACTCCAACTACAGTCCAGATCTTCTTCATGGATCTCTCCACTTGGCTCTTTATTTGGTGAGCCATTGAACCTACTTTTGGATCAAATTTTAATAATCAGAATCGCTCACATTTTGAAATTTGTCGAATATATCATATCCGTAAAAAATCAAGTCGATCAGATATCGAAAACCATATGTTCAAATCATCGAACTAAAAGTTTCATTAAAAAATAATTGTTTATTAAATTTTTTTTAATAAATTATTTTTAGTTCAATCATCCGAATATGTAGTTTCCGATCAATTTAACTTTTTACCAACATAATATATTCGAGAGATAAGCCCAACAACCTACCAAATAAAGGGCCAAGTAGAGAGATCAAGGAGATGATCCTTGCTCCTCCAACTAGGTTACTTTGCGTGTAGTTTGATTCATTATTCAAAGCGCACGAGAAAGTGTAAAACTGTTTTACAAGGTGGGTTTGGATTTAAAATTTAGGTCATATTTAATAATATTTTTTTTATCAAAATAGTTAATAAAGATTAAAATAATTAAAATAATTCATAAAATAAAATATTAAATTTTATGTATCAATCAATTATTTTTTCGATTATAATTATCTATTTAATTATAAAAAAATTATAAATCATCACAAACATAATTTTTTCCATCTACTAAAATAGATAGAAAATTAAAAAAAATCAATTAAAATAGGCAAATCCTCAAAGGAGGAGTAAGAAATTAATTATGAGGGGAAAAAAATGTCACTTTCCCTCGTGTAATAACATCTTTCATTAAGAAAACATATTAATCCCTCCAATTATTGAAATCAAGCATTGATTTATGTTGCTATTAAAAATAAAGAATAAAAACTAAGGGGGAAAAAAGATTAGCTTATTTTAAGAAGTTAGAAAAACAATTTTATAAAATATATCACCCAAATATTGCTTCTTGAATTTTCATAATCCTGATACACGTAAATAAAATCATAACAAAAAAAAGAAAGAAGAGTAAATTAAACAAAAAAGGGATAGAGAGAGAGAGAGAGAGATGTACATCATAGGTGGGTTGATCTTGAGGAGGCTGGAATGAGTAAAACAAACCAGAACAGCCCTTCAAAGCTTCAATTATGCTATGGTAATCGAAGGGGTCTGATTGAAATATTTTCAAGTTTTTGTTTTCACAATCAAGCCCCTGATTTTCACCTAAAAAAAAAGAAAAGAAAAAAAGGTCCAATCCAATCCATGTAAGCTTTAATCATAAAACCCATAATCTGTATATAAGCAGTATAATCAACAAAAACTCTAATAGAAGGGACTGGGACTGACTAGGGTTCTGAATAGCAGCATGGACTTTGTAGCCTCTTCTGAGAAGGCGTTGGACCAGGGTTGAGCCAAATCGGCCTGAGGCATCCATTACACAGACCGTTTTGGGGTTGTGCTGCTCAGATGCTGGTGCCATGACTTTTAGAGAGAGAGAGAGAGAGAGAGAGAGAATTGGGAGTTTGGACAGAGAGAAGCAGAGTGGTGAGCTGGGTATTTAAGAGGAAAGGTTGGAGAGGAGACCTAGCATTCAAAGAGCGTGGTGAGTAGTAGATGGTTGGCAAGTGGTTGTTGGCACCTAGCGAAGATGAATAGAGAGAGAGAGAGAGAGAGAATCTACCAACACAAAAATGGGTAACAGAATAAAAAATAAAAGAGCCAACTACAGAAGAACAAAAAAGCGAAAAAAAAAAAAAAAAAAAAAAAAAAACTCAAGATTTGAGTCATTTAATAAAATAAAATTTTAATTTTATTAATTTAAATCTTAATTTTTTCGTTTGATTTAATTTAAATTATTCATCTATTTTTTATTAAGTAAAATTGATGAAAAAAATAGTATTTTAGTCATTAAATTAATGTAGGTATATATAAAATATTTTTTTTCATTGATTTTAAAAATTAAGATACTATTTGGTTAAATTTTAGAATTATGATTTGATAATAGAGTTGCATTTTAAATTTGTGAGTTTTGAAGTTATGATTTGAGTGTGAAAAATTTGTTTGGTTATGAGTTTTGAAAAGAGTTTTAAATTGAGTTTGAATTGAGTAATGTGACATATGATATTTGATACAAAAACTTAAAATGCATGACCAAACACACAACCAAAAATTTTATTCAAAGCTCATAAAAAAATTTTAAAAAAATTTCACAAATATGTTTTTTTGTAATATAAAAATAACAGATGCAAAAAAAAAAAAAAAAAAAAAAGAGAAACCGAACATTATTCCGGTCAACCGACCGGTTAGTCTAAATTTTCCCGCATTGAAAAGAGTTTTCAAAAGTGAGTGTAAAATTAATTTTTTAAAATAGGGCGAATTACAAACACCCCCTCGAGGTTTGGCAAAAATACAGATTCCCTTTGAGATTTGAAAAATTACAAATTGCCCCCTGAGAGTCAAATTTTCATAACAAACTAGGAGAAATTATGGGAGAATCTGTATGAAAATAAAAACCTCATGGGACAATTTGTTATGAAAATATAAACCTCAAGCGGTGTGATGTAATTTCTCAAATCTCATGGGAAAATCTATATTTTCACCAAACCTCGAGGGGGATATTTGTAATGGAAAATGCTTTGTAGCACTAAAAAAAGTCCCCCTAATCCCCCTAATTTCCTTTTTGAGAAACTGTTTTTTTTTTTTTTTTTTTTTTTTTTTTTTTTTTTTTTTTTTTTTTACTAAAAACGGAAATTGTGGGGATTCGGGGGACCCCCGTTTCGGGGGACGAAGCACTACCCATTTGTAATTTGCCCTTAAAAATGCTAAACAAACACCACACTCAAAGGTAAATATGGAATTATATTTTGAAAACTCCACAAAACGGAGCCTAAATACTATTTTTTGGTCTATTTTACTTAAGAAAAAAAAGTAAATTATTTAGATTAAAATTAAATAAAAAAATGTAAGTTTAAATTAACAAAATTTAAAGTTCAGAGTTTATTTTGTTACAAGGTCAAATTCTGAGTTTTTTTCATAATTTTTCCAAAATAAAATGTATTATGAACTGATAAGGGTTTTTTTTTTTTTTTAAAAAAAAATGATGTATTTCTCTCGAGTTTATACCTGAATGAAGAATTTGTACTTGATGAGTTTCGATGATTGGATTTTGTATAACACTCTCTTCTTTTTTTAAAAAAATAAATCATATTTTTTTAAAACAAACAAAGAAAATAAAAAGTTACGATTTTAAATCGATCTAATTTTTTTTATCGATGATATGCATAGAGTATCTTACAAAATGAACGATTCAAATTATCGAAACAGAACCTATAGTGAATCTCACGAACTTCTCAAGTTCTCTCAATTTCAAATTTAAACTTTGAGGGGAAAAAAATCTTTCTGTAAAAGTGGATTTTATTAACCAACCTTATGTAAATTTGTTCATTTATAAGCATTCTGTATCTAATTTTATGATTAAATTTTATTTCCTTGTATAATTTTGTTTATTGATATGTATTTTGTTAGAATGGTTGAGAGAAAAGGAGAATAAACTGTGTATTTTATCTATACTATATATATAACCAAATGTAGTTGTTAGGTCAAAATACTCCAAAACTTGAATCCTAAATTCTCATAATTTTGGAAAAATAAAATAAATACGTGGCACATCTCTTTACCCCTCTTCTCACTATTCAAGTATTCTCAATTCTTCTCCCAATTGTGTTATCTAAAAAAATATTTAAAAAAATCAAATAATATCTTTCATTGGAGTTGTGGATATACATATGTATATGGAACCCCACATGTTTATCACCATATCACATAAATTTAAATACTAATAATAAAAAAGAACTCACAACTCTCACAACTCTTATTTCCACTTATTTTATATATATATATATAATAAAATGTTAGCATTTATCTGATTCACGTTTGCTTTTAAAAAATAAAATAATTTCATAGCCTATAGATAAGATCAAGATTTCAAAGTTGAAATTTTATTTAATTTATTCTATTTTCTCGTATTTATATTATTTTATTTTTAAATTTGAACTTAAATTTTTACTTTATTCAGAACTTCCTATCTCTTGGAGTTTATCTTCTATTTGAACTTGATTGTTGTAGATTTTCATATATTCCAACTTAATCTTTTAAAAATTTATCTTCAAGTTGAACTTTATTTATCTTTAAAAATCGTCAATTAATTATCCATATAAATTTTAAATATGATATAATTCCAAGTATATCTTTTGTCTAAGCTTAATCTTTTCAATATAAAAACAAGTGCTTGAAAAAGGAACCATGAACATGACATTGAAAAGAAAAAAAAAAAAAAACAATCAATATTGTGCCCTTTTCGACTCTCCTTCACGGTGCCTAAAAAATTTTGCTTTAAATTTCAAGTCACAAGTGATTTTTTTTTTTTTCAATTGTATCGATTTTACATTTAAAATGTGTACTTACATGAGTTTTTGCCTTTGTGGGAAAGAAAGTTTATATAAATGAATATTATTATTTTATTTTTGCTGTAAATTCTATTTATGTTTTTGTTTCTTTTTCTTTTTTCTACAATTTGTATTTTTTTATTTCTTTCTTTTTTGGCTAATAATGTGTCTTTTAATTGAGATTTCATTCTATCTTTGAAGTGCTACTATTAATTTGTGACTCTTTCACTTATTGACCATTTGTGTTTAATTATTTTGGGTGCAGATGTTATATTGGAAGCGAAGAGATCATCAAAATTTATTTGGATATGGATTTATGTTTTAAATTTAATCATCAATTATATTTGGTTGTTGATTGCCATGTTGAAATAACTTATGATTAAATTAATTTTCAAGATCTCATTTCTTTTGAGACTTAAACCACAAATTTCTTCTTTTTTTAAATATCTTTTTATGCATATTCAAAGTCTGAGCAAATGCAAGTGATCTCATATTTAAAATGTTAGGTTTTTTTTGAATAACTTAAATATTTCTATTCTTTATGTTTGTCCGTTCAGTTTTAATGCATTTTCAAACCTATTTATGTTTAGTGAATCAACATAAAATTAAAGAAAAAAAAAATTATTTTATTTTAATTCATTATATTGTGTGGGATAATTAACATAATATCTCTTATTGATTGAAAAAAAATGAAAAAATAGCATTCTTTAATTTAATGTTAGTCATTTTGATTAATTATAATTTTAGTATGCTTTTGTTACTCCGCTTTTGATTGTCTTAACTAACTCTTATTATCTATTTGTTATGTGATGATTTAAGATGAAAAAGGTCAAAAATAATAAATAAAAAACAAGATAAGTGTTCGCATTTATTACATAAATGTTTGCTAATAAAATAATTGATTTGTATTTTTTTTTTTAAATGTGATGTTAAAATTTTAAAATTAAATTTTCTATGATATCTTTAGCTCCTTATCTTTATCAAAAAAATTAAATTTGAATTTAAACACTAAACCTCCAAAACACATTATCTTTAAATTAAGTTTCCATATAAAGTTGAACAACCACCAATAAAATCCAACATTGGAAACAAACCCTCAACAACATCCTCTTTTTTTTTTTTCTTTTTTTTTTATATTAACGTAGTGGTGGTCATAAAAATTTCTTTAAGGTATTAATATTTTATATCTCATAACTCTAATAATTTATTTATTTTTCCTCTCCAGGAAAGATTATAATATATATAGAGCTTTGCAAGCAATATCTCGAGGTTAATCATTTTTTTAATTGAAATCTATTTGAAGTCATAAAATTTCATGTAATTTTTTTTTCATCTTTATTCTATTGTATTATTTAATGATAGATCTTTTCAAGCAACATGTTTCAAATTCATATAAATTTACATAGGGTCTATATATGGTTTTACACAAAATCTACGTAGGTCTATCAACTTTTTCATGCAATTGCTCTACATTTATAGATCTTTGAATGCATTTTGTGATAGTTCTTGAAAAGAACTTTTATTGAATAATTCGTGCATATTACAATTTTCAATCACTTCATTTTAACTCACCATAATAAATATATATATGTATATATTATTCATGTTTCTTAAATATATCATTTGTCCTATAATATTTGGTATAACTACTGCTATACATTTTTAGTCTCTATTGATCTAATTTTTAGTTATATATGATATCTTAAAAATTCATTTCAATAATTGATTGCAATTATTAAATTGATATATGTTATATATGATATGTTTTTTAATGGAAAAAAATCTTTCTGTAAAAGTGGATTTTATTAACCAACCTTATGTAAATTTGTTCATTTATAAGCATTCTGTATCTAATTTTATGATTAAATTTTATTTCCTTGTATAATTTTGTTTATTGATATGTATTTTGTTAGAATGGTTGAGAGAAAAGGAGAATAAACTGTGTATTTTATATATATTGAATTGAATGACATACAATAGAAGAAGCATGTATTTATAGGTTGTAGAGAAACCTAGATAAGTATAGAAGGAGATAGAGACAGAGATAGAGATTAGGGATGGCAATCTGAAACCGGCCCGACAGTGACCCGACTCC